CAGTCCGCTCCGTTTCTTATATTTTTCTTGGTAGGGATATATAGAAGGGTGCTCGGAAGGCCAACATGTACAATAACAAAGTGGGGTGAATTTTCAGCAATCTTCTGATTTTTTGCGCGCTAATCGTTGGTTCAGTGGGGTTTGGTGATGATTTTAAACTTCAAGGGGTCCTCGGAAGGCCGGCACATAGAATAACCACTTAAGTCAACTTATTAGGCAAAGTGGCTTTTCAAATTAAAAATGGGAATAACCGCTTACTTACAAATTTTAAGTAGGGAGAATTTCCACAATCTTCCAATTCCTTGCTCACTAGCCGTTAATTCAGTTTGAGTTGGTGACCCCACGAGAGATACTTAGCGTTTCCTTGGACTATAAGTTTCCTTTGCTAACCGACAGAAGTTCCTCTCCATATTTTTGTTCGTTTATCAAAGTTTTCAACTGCATTTTTGGTTTGCTAAAGAAATTGCAAACAGTTTTTTTCTTATTCCTTACTGTGCACTTATCACACATTATGCACGCGTTAATTGCCAATTAATCAAGCAAGAGACGTTTGCCTTTGAACGGTCCTACGATTTATTTCTACCGTAATCAGTTTAGGTAAAGTAAGCTACTGACTAATTAGTACCATTTCAGTTGCCGTCAAGTGCCGATTTTGTGTCAATAATATTTGGAGAGTAATTATTAGCAGAAAATAAGCTGCAAAAACAAGCGTTGCTGAAGGATTACCAGCACTTATTTTACTTTCCTGTGTAAGTAGGAAATTCACTACCCTATATATGCTGAGGATTGTTGAATATCAAAAATGGATTTGTGACCTTCCCACTTTTTCTTTTCCACAGGACTCACACATGGAGGAAGCTCGCAAACATTTAGAAAATCGTTTGTTTTTCAGTAATTATGAACGCCCTGTGGACTTGTTCATACCCCCAACAAGAACCCGACGGAGAACTCTCTAATACTGTACAACAGTGCCAAAATTATTCAACCACCGGAGATTTTAAAAACCCCTGTTCCAAATAAATGTTTACTTTGCTCCACTTAATATATGTTAGATGAATAAGTATGCTCTGTGTGTCCATAAATGTGTTTATAGTGCATATTTAATTATGACGTTTAAGTAAGCGAAGGGCACTCGGTTGGTGATACCGTCAAATTTTAAAAAAGCGAACCAATTTAGTTCAGGCTGGCTTACATTTAATAAAAACTGGCGGTCGGGCGTATGGTTATTATTCCCCTTCATTGGTCGGTGTAACGCATGCGGCAGGGCAGTCACGTTTAGAAAGGTCGAGCAACAGGCAAGGAAGGATGTAAAAATGGTTTTCGAGGTCCGTTGTTGCCCTAAATGAACTTTTCGGATATTGTCCGTGTTTCGATAATTCAACCATGGACTGTGGCTGCGTGCAAGGTGTATCATAAAACAAGGTAAGCCAATACACAGTGAAATACCCGTGACTTAGTCTAGCCTGCTAGTAGACTTTGCTTAATCTATTGTATTATTTTGCCCCATCCTTTTGAGCCAGGCATCATGACAAAGGCTCTAAAACAGAAGGCGGAATCGGATGCAGTGGGTAACAGAACTAGACAACTTCACTGCGCATGCCATACATGCCTAGTCTAGGATTACACACAAAGACTACAGGCGACCACATCCGGTGGCATTCGAAGGGGAGAGCCACGGGAGCTGAAGTAAGGACCATTTACTCCACACTGACTCTTTATCCCTTCGGGTGTTCGCCTTCCAAGCCATGACTTGTAGCGCCTCATCATAGATCGCAGTGCCGCATCCGACTTACACCGTATGGGCTTAGGAGGCCACATGCACCTCCAAGATAACCTGCAGTCCAACGCCTTTTCTTACACCACATTGTCGCAGTTCTCCTCATCGGCGTTTACGTCATGCCCGGTCACGCCCAGCACATTTCATCTCCATGGGGTTCTTCTACTGCATGTTTGAACTGAGCCGCAGCCCATCCGGGTGCGCTAAGTGCCGTGGATT